TCAGAAATTCTGTCCTTCATATGTTTCAATAAAACATTGATGCAGGTAGTTTAAGCATGGTCGCACAAATGTTGTTGATATGCCAAGATGTGGAAGACCATCTTCAGATTAGGCAGATGAAAATGCACAAAAAGAAAAAAATCATAGTCCAAGATCTGAAAATCACTATTGAAGACATGTCTAGCACGGTTAAACTGAGTAAAACTACACTTGCCAGAATTTCACACAACAGACTGAACATGAGAAAAGTGTGTGCCTGGTAACACATGAACAGAAGGAAGTCAAGGTAACATGACAGTTACTCAAAAAGAGTTTGTCAGAAAACAGTTTGATGACTATGGTGACAGTAGATGAGACTTGGGTTCACCATTACGACATCCACTCCAAAATTGCCAGCATGCACTGGAAAAATCCAGGTTCTCCAACACATGTCAAACAAAGAGTAGGGATGCTGACAGTTTTTTTAGATGCCAAAGGTGTTCTTTTGAAAGTATACCTGTCTCAAGGTCAGTCTGGTAATGGGCAGTATATGCAGGTTTCGTTACAAAACTGAGAAAGGTTGTGAAAAGAAAACGAGGGATTGCCTGTACTCAAGACTATCCATTTGCTTTGGGAAAATGATCCTTCTTACAAAGCACAGATAGTGCATCTAACAGCCAACAATTTGGACACTAAAAGTTCTTCCTCCTTTGCCATATTCTCTAGATCTGGCACCCTCAGACTTTTTTTTCTCGTTTCCAAACCTTAAAAAAAAATTAAAAGGAATTAAGTTTGCCAGTGACAAAGAAGTCACACTTACATGTGAAACTGTTTCAGCTACAAATAATAGGGCATTCAGTTCCCAAGGTCTTGTCAAGGTCAAGCAGAGATAGCAGAAATGTTTACATACGGAAGATGGCTATACCAACAAGGATACAACTGTACCAAATTTCAGCCTTCTATGTCATTTCTTTCATAGTCAGGTTAAGGACGTATTGATCACCCCTTGTATAATGCATTTAGACAAATACACACAGATTATTAAAAGGCAGTAAAACTCCATAAAACATAGTTTTCAAAACCAAGCAACTTTACAATTAATCACATCTGGTCATGTGTATACTGCAGTGGCACAATATGAGGGAGCTTCCAATGAACTCTTTAAAAATGTGATCGAAATTACAATAACCATGCTAATGTTGTACAACCTGTCACTGTTAAAGATGTAAAGAGTGTTAAGCTTGTGACTTCATGTGACGGTTTAAATGAAAGTTTCAAGAAAACTACCCCACTTTTTACATGCACTAAAGAGGAGCAGTGCTACTGTAGCACATCACAGATACCTGAGTGCTGATGTCAAGATGTGCAACAATAACAGTCAATCAGCGGTTTTCCTGTATACGAATTTCAATGTTTGCAATCGACTCTGGAGTGACTACTCCGTGTGCCCAGCCAGGTAATGAACAGTCTGTCACGGAGGGCACATCATTTTGAAACTTCCTATTTCATTCATTGTCCGTGGCTTAGGCGCTGAGAGTCCGACTCGTAATTCCAATGTACCTCGATCAAAACCCACTGCTGGCTGGGTGGAATTTCATCATGGTATGGGGCGTCGCAGGTCGGCCCAGCCTAAAATGGGTACCAGAATGTATGTCCTCGGGAAGTAATGAAGGCCAGCCTAATACTGACCACATTAAAAATATTGGTGCTTTTCCCATACGGCAGATGTGCCTAAAGACGTGAAAAGGGATCTTTACTTACTTTAATATCCCATTTATACACTTGCTGGACTGACAGGCATGCATCACCTTCATTTGTAATTGAATTTGTTCAGGTTTTACCCCTTTGCTGATATTTTAAAAAAATTGATAACAGGACACTGCTCCATCTAGTGCATGTCAAAAGTGGGGTGGCCATATTGAAACTTTCATTATAATGTCACCATGTTTGTCTGCATGCTGATGTCATGTGCTCAGGACTCATGACGCCCCAATAACAATACAGGTACAACACAATGGCACGGTTATCGTAATTTCTAGAACAGCTTTAACGTTTTCACTTGAAGCCCCCTCGTAGTTAATTTACTTGCCAATGGGGAGAAGCAACAGCACCCTGGCTAGATCTCTGTCTATCAGCCTGACGGTCTTGGGTTCAGATTTTCATTTAGGCAGATTTTTTTTAAAGAATGACTCTGGTTTCCAGATCGGTGCTCCCTAAAATGGGTAGCAGGTAATGTCCTAGTAAGTAAAGGCAGCCAGCGTGATGCTGACATCACCCACCTACAGCTATCTGGTCTATACAAATATGAGTTAGTATTATATGCCAGAAAGGGTGCTTTAATAATTTGTTTTTGTTTAGAGGGAGGTTTTTCTCTCCAACCAGTATGGCTCTGGGGTCAAACTAACATCATAAAAATGGATACTAGACAATTTTCATGGAAATGTCTGAGAAAGAAAGATGACAAGAAAGAGAACTAGTCACCCAACCTTATATGTCATGCCCTAGAATATGTCAAGACCCAACCAACACTCTACACCCCAAATGCAGCACATGCTCTCGGATTTTCTTTACTTTCTTATTTTCTTTACTTACTACTTTATTAATTTTTCAACTTAGGATTTCTCAGATAGTGTATTAAAAATTGTAAAGACAGACACAGATATTCATCTAGTTACTATTTCTGTCATTTCCTGTGTTCACAAATGGACTGATTTACTGCAAAAATATAACTGTAAGATCAGAGTGCAATGACAATATTTCATCAATGGCCTTTGGATAAGTGGGAAAATTATTTCCAGATTTGCATATTATTGATTTATAGCTAAACATAGTTCTATCTCTGTCACTGCCAGTCCCAAACCTGGATGAGAAAGGAGGAGGGCTGGGCACGGGACCAACTCCTTCATCCTGTACGAAAATTAATTTGCTACAGGAACTCACAGGAAAGGAAGCCACTGTGGTAAATTGACTATTCAAGTATGTCAGTTGCTGATTAAAGCTGCTCTGGAGAAGTCAGAAGCCAGACAAGCAAGATACGTAGCTCCAAAAAAAAAAACCCCACTAGAATAGGTTTTGCTAGAGAGAGGCCAGAGATGTTGGAGATGATTATGATGTTTTTGGAAAAAACACTATGAAAATTCATTTTGGTCCTCTTGTGCTTGCAGTGTCGAGGTGATGTATAAAAAGCAGGAGAGGGCCCATTTGTGTATGGGAGTTCCCAAGGACTTTATTTTTTCTTCTGTCTATCGTTTAATTGGTCAACTTTTTTTAAATTTTTTTTTTATTTCCACTTGGTCTATACTAGTTATAGTACACTGACTATTGACAGCATTTATATGGCTGAATAATTTCCGTGGATATTTTTTAATTACATCTAGTACTGCTCTATACCAACTTTCTTTCTGATTTCATCACCTCTGATTTTTTTCTCTCTTTTCAGATAAAATTTTTTAGTCATAATATTAAATTCATGCACATTGCTTGATAGTGGCATTTTTAGATGTGATAAATATTTCCAGCCACAGCATAATGTAATTATGTAGATTCAGTTAAATGATAACACTATGCTATCAATGCCAAACGTGGACACTTACATCCTCCAATGAATGTAAAATTGTGACAACAAGGATGAAATGCCTAAGAAGAGCTGCAGAAGTTTCAAGGAAAGACAGAATACGAAATCAGACGAATGCTAGGAATAAAACCAGTCTTACAGGTCATCAAAGAACAATAAATGAAGTGATTTGGACATCCAACAAGAATGCCCTGGTACTATCCGTCACAGCGAGCCACATTAAAACATTATAACTGGTATAGAGTGAGTGGAAGACCTCAGAAAATATGGAGTGATGGCATTAAGAACAGCCTTACAGTAATGAACATCAGTCTTAATAGTGCTCCTGACAGAGCTCATCAACGAATGTTACATCAACCCCCAACACTTCGATGAGGTACAAGGTGGAAGAGAAGAAGCAGAAGAAGGAGAAGTTAAATGATATATTACGTATATCATATAAGCCTCATAAGATCTACATTATTACAAAACATATAAACCAAGCTGCGCATCACACCAGTGACCACAGCAAGGGAGCATAAACACACACACACATGTTCAAAAAAGGCTATGTACATAGAATCACACATGCGTACAAAAAGCCAATGCACACAAAATCACACATATAAAGAAACAGGAATCAGAATTTGCAGTGGTTTAGTGGGACTAGCATGTTTTGAGAGCCAGATATTCAATAATGACACATTTCTACAGTAAAGGGTAGTAAAAGTTATCTTCCAAACATTGCATACATCCAGTGTTAAGTGATAAGTAAAACACTGCATTCAGCCAGAGTGAAGTGATAAGTAAAACACTGCATTCATCCAGTGTTAAGTGATAAGTAAAACACTGCATTCAGCCAGTGTGAAGAGATAATTAAGACACAGCATTCAGCCAGTGTTAAGTGATAAGTAAAACACTGCATTCAGCCAGTGTGAAGAGATAAGTAAAACAATGTCTTGTAATGATCCAATTATTTCACTCACCCAGTAGGAAGAAAAAAGAAAAACATTGCATGCAGCAAGTGTGAAGTGATAAGTAAAATACTGCATTCACAGTGTAAAGATATAAGTAACACACAGTATTCAGCCAGGGTGAAAAGATAAGTAAAACAATGTCTTATTATTCTCCAAATATTCAACTCAGCCAGTGTGAAGAGGTAAGTAAAACAATGTCTTATTATCCCCACAAATTTTGCACTCAGACAGTATGAAGAGATAAGAAAAAGAAAACAATGTCTTATTTTTCTCCAAACACTGAACTCAGCCAGTGTGAAGAGGTAAGTAAAACAAAGTTTTATTATCCTCTAAACTCAGACAGTGTGAAGAGATAGAGAAAACAATGTCTTATTATCCTTGAAACATTGAACTCAGACAGTGTGAAGAACGAAGTGAAACACTGTCACTGTTTTGTTACTATCCACAACTGAAGACAGCCAATGTAAAGAGATAGATAAAACAACATCTTGTTAATGAGGAATGCCAGGAACAGATAAGCGAGGCAAGATAACTCTCCGTATCAACAGTATCCTACAGGCGGCAGCGCTTGCATTGTTAAAGAGCCGGTCATTGAGTATCCTGACCTTTCCATCATGTCCATTGACTTCAATAATATCCACAAACTGGCTTGAACCTGAAGGATACCTGGTGTCACCCCCAACAACCAAAATACTGTTTCCCCGCTGCAGCAGACCAAAGTTGAAGCGGTCAAAGTTAGGCAGGACGCTGTGCCGTGAGAGTGTGCCGGACTCCAAGACCCTCATAATTGAGCCGTTGGTCAAAGCCAAATACATGCAGGAGTTAAGCGCCACTGCTCGGCTCTCTGTCACTGCTGATGGAAACTGGTTGATGATGGTGGCCTGCCCAGTGATGACATTGAAGGCCTGGATGTCACGTTTGCGTGTGCTGTCATCTGCTCGACCACCAAACACATAAATAGTGTTCTCCACAGCACAAGCTGAAGCTGAGTACACCCCGACACGTAAGTTCCCCAGGCTGGTCCATGTGTCCTCGGCAACATGATACTGTATTATGCTAGTGAAAACACCATCTCGCTTGTTCCAGCCACACACAGCATGGGCACGGTTGCATGCCACAACCATCTCATGGTAACGTCTCTTCTCTGGCATCTGACAACATTCATCCCACAGGTTTGTGCAGGGGTCATAGCGCAGGACATAAGCTTTACGCAACGAAATGCCTGACATGTATAGCTGGTTGTCGAGAACACATGTTGCATAGCCTACTCCTGGGTCAAAGGGCAAGGAGCTGAGTTTGAACCACATCTGAAAATTATAAGAAACAAGATGTTAACAGCCTTACCAGTCAGATTACAGCGGTGGAAAATAATTTAGTGGCTAGGTGGACAAACTAGGCTTTGGTTTCAAATCAGCTTTGGTTTAGATTTCTGTGCTGAGTGGATTTCAATTGAAATTAACCTTTTCTCCCAGACTAACCCAGCTTAAAATGTGCATCAGATATTATACCAGGAAATAAAGGGAGCTGGCGTGATGTTGACCAAATCACCTCAGAAGTGTCAAATGGTCAACAAAAATATGAGTCTAGTATCGTATAACTGACGTGACACTGGTGTGTAAAAGGGCCCTTTCCATTTTTAACTTATGACTGCTATATTCTTCTTCTTCAGCATTGCAATCCCCCGAGTTTCACTGTTGCAGATATCACTGCCTCCGTTTGTCTATCAGGTCGACCTTCTCTTTTGTTGCAGATATCACCGCCTCCATTCATCTATCTGGTTGGCCTTCTCTTTCCAGCTGGTGACACCAATTGTTTGTAGGTGTGCCTGGACATTATCTCTCCATATTTTCTTGGTCTTCCTCATGGTCTACAACCATTCAGCTCTTATAATTGCTATAGTCCCATGCCCCCCCCCCCCCTTTTTTCAATCTCTATTTCATTCTCTGAGTTATATTCAATACATCTTTATTCGTTTATAAATAAAATATAGATCGGGGGGGGGGGGGGGGAAGATCCTGAAGAGCCACACTACAAGCAAGCTACATAAAAGCCTTTTCCATAAAGCTACTTTAAGCCTCATGCTAGAAGTGGTTTACTGGTAACTCTTCTAGGAGATGTGAGTTTGAACTCTCTTGTTAGAACACTGGCATTCAGGTTGTAGGCTGTGAGTTTTAACTCTCTTGTTAGAACACTGGCATTCAGGTTGCAGGCTGTGTGAGTTTGAACTCTCTTGTTAGAACACTGGCATTCAGGTTGTAGGCTGTGCGAGTTTCAACTCCCTTGTTAAAACACTGGCATTCAGGTTGTAGGCTGTGCAAGTTTTAACTCTCTTGTTAGAACACTGCCATTCAGATTGTAGGCTGTGCGAGTTTTAACTCTCTTGTTAGAACACTGGTATTCAGGTTGTAGGCTGTGAGTTTTAACTCTCTTGTTAGAACACTGGCATTCAGGTTGTAGGCTGTGTGAGTTTTAATTCTCTTGTTAGAACACTGCCATTCAGGTTGTAGGCTGTGCGAGTTTTAACTCTCTTGTTAGAACACTGGCATTCAGGTTGTAGGCTGTGAGTTTTAATTCTCTTGTTAGAACACTGGCATTCAGGTGTCAGACTGTCTTGACTCCAGATCAATGCAGAGATTTTTCTTCCAACCAGTACAAAGTAAATGTCTTTGGGGGATTGTGCTACAGAACTTCCTTTCCTCTCTCCAACTAAATAATCAGTAGTATGTGCTAAACTGATGCTGGAAATTTACAGATATGCTGAGAGACATATCATGATGCAACCCGGTCATGATTAAGAATGTACAGACCAGCTGGGATGAGGCCTAGGTCGGTCATAAAGTTAAAGTGAAGAGGATCAACTTCACTGCTCCCAGTTATCCAATACGGCTCAGTTTCTCTCCACAGAATAGCTACCCACCTGCCAAAAGGATCACACTAAGCAACAACCCCATATCTTCAGGCTGGTATTGTTTCCTTCAAAGACTCCAATACTGAGGCAAAACAGGAAAAGCAAACTGAAGATGGAAAGATAAAGATATATTTGTTGACAAATTAAACAGAACTTACCTTAGTATTAAAGCTATAAGCTTGAACTGATGGTAAAATCCCAGTTGCTCTGTGGATTCCTATCACCACCAGCATATTCTCATAATTTCTGGAGGACAATGGCGTGTCCACAACTACAGAATTGGAAGCCTCAGGAAAGGAGTATCGTTTGTTTTCCATGAACCCTTCCAGAATACTGTCTGTTATATGGCACTCATTGTGAACAAATGTTAAAAGTTTACTAAATGAATCCTCGGATAAGTACCTAAGTCTCAAATTGACACAAATTTCATTAAAATACTTGGTTCTCTTGCTAATATCATGTTTTATCCATGATATTGCAGCATCTGAAACATAGTCTTCTTCTGGTACCCGAAGATCATCATCTCCCAGGAGTTCATTGAGGCGCTCTACGTCTATATGTAAGAAATCAGGTTCTGTGTAAATGTCAAGGAAATTTCCAAGGATGAAGCGTTTGGCTTTGTCTGCTAGCGCCTCACAGTGCAAGCACTGGGCCAGATCCCAAACAGCCAATGCATTGTCTGTATTGAGGTTTTCAGCATAGAACTGCTCACAGCTGTCCTGCAGGGTGATCATCTGTAGCAAGCCAGCAGCTTTCAACAAGTCTTCAGCACTGTCTGCATTGACCACAGATCTACAGACAAATCAACTTTGTTAAATATGTTTTACAGACTGTTATATTTATACATGGGCATATTTAGCTGCAGTGAAAGAGTGGTTATTGTTTAAGTTCCATTTGCAATACCTTTAGAGCTCTGTGGTTGTCTTTTAAACAGAAATCTGACAATTAAGAGAATTTTCTGGAAATGATCTGATTAGGAAATACAGTGAAAGGAACAGGACATCCTAATCATGTGAATCATTAACACTGTACACTCTTCTGGCAGTATCTGCTGAGGAATTCTCTTTTCCATGACAGACAGCAGACAGATAAATATCATTACTTAAGACTTTTAATGAGATGGACAGAAACAATAAGACAGACTAGCAGACATACAGACAGCAGAAATGGAATTAGAAAGGGTGAACAAAAAAGCAAGCAGCCATATAGATATTAATCAATGACCAGCGTCCTATATGTATACAATAGTTTTTCATCTTCTCACTGTCTTCAGTGAGATTTTCCTTTTGGGTTAGTGTATAATGTATGCTCCCAATTCAACCAGCCATGTAATGTCTGCCAACACAACCAGGTAATGTATGTCAACCCACAAGGCATATGTGATAACCAATCAGGCAGTTTATCAACCCACCAGGCAACATTTGTCAACCCACCAGGCAATATCTTGTCAATCCACCAGGCAACATTTGTCAACCCACCAGGCAATATTTGTCAACCCACCAGGCAATATTTGTCAACCCACCAGGCAATATTTGTCAACCCACCAAGCATGTTTGTAAACCAACCAGGCAATGTTTTCCAACCCACCAGGCAATGTCTGTCAACGCACCAGGCAATATTTATCAACCCACCAAGCATGTTTGTCAACCAACCAGGCAACATTTTCCAACCCACCAGGCAATGTCTGTCAACCCACCAGGCAATGTCTGTCAACCCACCAGAAAACTTTAGTCAACCCACAAGGCAATGTTTGTCAACCCACCAGGGAATATGACAACTAACCAGGTAATGTTTGCCAATCCACCAGGGAATATGACATGCAATCAGGCATCTGTCAACCCATAAGGCAGTATCTGCCTACCCAACAGGCATAAACAAGATATACATTTTTCAGGCACATCATCAGATTGATGAACCTGGACTATGTTGTGGCCAACATGAAAGGTAGAAAGAAAGTGAGGTATGGTGAAAACAAGAAAAGAGATCCTTGAACATTTGGCATCCTGGCATGTAGGAATATCTATATTTGCAATTGCTGGCAGTACAGGAGACAGAAGGCTGATGACCAAACCCCATACAGCTTAGATTATAAGAAGAAAAAGTTCTTGAGTTTTCAGTTTTCTCCAGAATCAATCATTTATAGTTTTAAGCATTCTAGATGTTAGTTCAGCAACCTCACAATCTATTGTGGTCCAAGTCTATGAGCTTTAAACAAACACTATCAAGTCAGTGTCTTGACCATGCCCACTTTTTTTTTTCTTTTCGGATATACGCAACAGCTTATGAGGAACAAGAGATGCCATTCTCCTTTTTAACTAATTTTCCTGTGTGGGGGGATTTTTAAAAATGATAGACCCACTGCCTCCCTAACAAACATGTCATAAAAGTTGACTAATTAAGGGAGGTTCCTTCAAAATGGGAGTTCATCAGACTGAGAGGTAAGGAACCAAGCAGCATCTATGGATATGCCTGGAGTGCTATGATGATGATTCTTAAATCAGAAATCAGTGAATTACCTGTCACAAGTGTAGTAGAAATCCAGCACTGCCTTGAAAGTTGAGCCTGACAAATCCTTGATGGTTACACGACTGTCCACACTTTCTCTCATGCCTGATGTGAACATGGCCAGAAAATAGTCCGAAATGGCACAAAGAAATACTTTATGGCATCGGAACACGCTGTCACTGACCTGAGATCAAGGGCAACAGATTATAGATACTGAAATTAGTCAGTTATTAATTAATACATCCTAGAATTATGATTTGTTTCCCTTTGTGTGGTAACTGTTCCCATTTATTGTATTAGATATTTATGTTTGCATTTTATTTGTTAGCAAAATCTACTGACACTGCACCCACCCCACCCCACCCCCCCCCCCCTTTTTTTTTGGTTCATTCTTTCTCTAGCCTCCACTAGCTTCTATCAAGCCCTTATTAATATGACTAATTCACAGCTGTTTAAATTTAATTACTGGAAAATTTACAGGAAGGTCATGCCAACAGTATTTGTTTAGAACCATGTTAAAGGTTAGAGTTGAGAGGATCAACTTCATGGCACCTGGTTTTATCCCATGTAATGTGGTCTCTCTCTCTCTGCAGAATGGCTAGCCGAGAGCATCGCACAAAGCACAAACATTATAGCTCAGGTGGCGATCCCTAGGGTCTCCACAAAAACTGCACTCATGAAAAGATTGACAAGTTGTGAAATGAAAACTGGCCTAAAGAGTGGGGGAAAAAGGCTTGACCACTTCGCAATATGTTTAGAGGTCACTCTACTATTCACCATTTAACAAACGCTTAGTGGTAGGATAGGTCTCTACCTCAGAGGAACCTTTTGATTGAGGAGAAAAAGAAAACAACTATTTATCTCTATATGTACACTCTTTAAGATAGTGTGAGATAGAAAACCTCCAATCAGGCAATTTAGGGCTAAATGACTAGACAGTCACTGTACAGGTTGGGATTTTAATTTTTGCTCCAACAGAAACAAATTTCCATCACAATGACTGAAATCAAGATCTCTCAAATAAGAAACTAGCATTCTAAGCAATAATCTTTTCAGCCAAAATCATTAAATAAGTGAATGCATGAAGTAGTGCTGGTTTCAGACAAATAAAATGAAAACCACAAACTTTATGATAAATCATACCTCAATTTCAATGTCTGTAAAGATGCCATCCTGAAAACTTTGTCGCAGGCCATCAACAACATTACATCTTATTTTATTAGCCCAGTCAACACTAGTAGCAGACAACATGCCTGACATTCTTGTTGAAACTAAACATAGGAAACATTATCATGTCATCAAATTGAGTATAAAAAGTCTCATGAATCGTCTAACAAAATGAACAAACAGAGACAGATGAAAGGGTTTTGCCAGTTGTTATGTTCTAGATTTTTTTCTTTTTTCCGTTCATCTTTATGGCATAATTGAATTGTGCCTGTTTACAGCAGAGCTGCGATATCTGCGCTTTTTGGGTGTGCATTCGACTTCATCAAGCATTTGCTGACCAAGTTAACTTCCCAGATAGTTTTGAGAGACAACCTTATTAATGTGAAATTCTCTTTGTTCCTTATCTACAGGGTTGTTCCTGGAGAACCTGTCCAGGGAAACCATGTGTAGATTGGTCTGCCCTCAAGGAAAGACAGGGGCAGATCTCGAGCATTCCCTGCCACCCATGAAGGCATTCGTAACTGCAGAGCCAACACTCTGGTCCTGGGCTCACCCAAGGAATTGTTATGTCCTGCAAATCTGCTTAACCTCACATCTGTAAGTTGAGTTTTTAGCCTGGTCGCACACTATAATTCTGGGGACTACCAACTCAAAGATCCCCAGCCAGCTCGATTGAGGTCACAAAGGTGAGCTCTTATCCATAGCGCATCCACAGCAAAGCTGCAATATTTGTGCCTTTCAGCTGACGCATCCAACTTCACTGAACGTTTGTTGACTGGGTCAACTTCCTGGATAGTTAAGAGGGGATCTTTATTGTAAACCCCATTGAGAATACTGCAGGTACAGCCTTGTTCAGACCCATGCTAGGAGAGATACATAGCGAATAGTGACTGCTGAAGAGAAAGACAAAATCATAAGACTTGGAGGAAAAAGCAAGCTTTCCAGATTATTTTTTACTTATTTCTAAATTTACATGTTCTAAGTCTGTCATTTGTTGTAATCTAGAATTGCTGATTTTATTTTCCCACGTGAACCCCAACAATCCTCTGAGAAATCTTCTCTCAAAACTCTTTGATCATGCTCTCTATCTTTCTGCTTGTTTTCCAAGTTTCTGCTCCATTGAAGATAACTGTCCTAATACATGTTTAAATTTCCTGAGTTTAGTTTTAGTGCTGCTGAGTAAAGGGAAAGATCATGGAAGAACAGAAAAGTGCTTTTTTATTTACAACTACAAGCAATCAGATGGAGGTGTAGGCAATCACTGCAGCTCTTAAAAAGAAAAGAAGAAAACAGAGTTACCAGAGGATTTATAGTGTCTACTTTTCAGTCGGTACTGCTAAAGGTTCAAAATGGAAAAACGTGCGTCAATGGATACCAAGCATCAGCATGTCAATATTACAGGGACTCATGTGGATATACTGTCCGCAGATGCAGGAGTATGAGGACATGAAAGAGTGCATTATTTGCGATAGCTATGGGAATACTTTTGCTGGACAAAGAAACTCTGAAGACCATTTATGAACACATACTGATAGAAGACATGAGGTTACATCAAATGTTCAAATAACGTGTAGGAATGTGTTAATAAGAAATAAGGTATGGACCTGAGAGAGCGAGAATGACGTGTGTAGCCTATAAACAGTGTGCTACAGAAACATTAGCATCTACATCCTAAAACATTTGCTGTGGGAGATGGAGCCTCTATAGTATGCCCTATGGGCTATGATGTTGATTTTTAAATAAGTAAATCAGATTCAGTTCTCTCAGCTGGGGGAGAAACAAATCTGGCTGGCAGACCAGTCACCAGTGACTTCAAGTAACCAATGTTTCATTCAACACACACATATAATAATGTGGCTCTCCTTTGAATCAACCCCCAAAATGGCGACTTTAATTTGATGGCATTTGAAAGAGAGCTAAATTGGCCAATTTCTTGCCATAAAATATCCAAAAATATCCTAATGCGGGTCAGTTCTATTAAAAATATATGTGCCGGCTCCGGATAACGAAACAAATGCTATGACAGGGTCTCGGCGATAGTTTACTTGCCAACCTGCTTCTGCGAGTGTATCCTACGGCGCGGATGGGGACTAAACTAGATGGCTGGGACTCATGAGCGGCAGCTACCGCATCTCCTGCAACTCCTTCCAATTACTGTACTCGTGAGTCCCAGGCATCTAGTTTAGTCCCCATCCGCGCCGCGCGTAGCACATTCACAGAAGCAGGTCGGCAAGTAACGTATCGCCGGGACCCTGTCAGAGCATTTGTATCATCTGCTCCTATCGTCTGCTGCTACTATCGTCTGCAGAAACTATCGGTATTTATCGTCTGCTACTACTACCGTGTGCAATGTTCATATTGTCAAGTAATCCTAGTTTTGCCGCGATTTGTTCCTTGGCAGAAAGTCCGTATTTTAGATATACGCGAACACCGTCGATCGGATATTTTTGGATATTTTATAGCCAGAATGTGGCATGCCGCTATTTTGGGGGTTGATTCAAAGGAGAGCCAATAATGTAAATATACTACACACAATCACATGGAAATGGATATCAAATGCTTTAAAATCGCTATCCCTCAGTGTAGTCTTTATTTTAATCTCAATATATTTCCCAGCGTCGTCAAAAAGAGCGACTGTGACTGCCCACATTTGCTTACTTAGTAAGTTTAGTTACTAACAGTAAGATACAATAATACTTAAACTTCCTTCCAGTGAGTCAACTAACGACTTGGTTGTGATTTATTTTAAACGATACGAGAAACAAGAGACCTGACAACTAAATGATACTCTTTAAAACGTTTAATAAAAACGGTTTCCACATTTTGGTTGAGGAAATCTTATACAATAATCAGAATTTTTCAATTGTATACTTGATACAGAAATGAAAAATGTATTTCGAGAAACAGACAAGGTAAAAGTATCGACTGACACCTTTATTCCTGCTGCTGGAAGAATTTACATTTGAGTTACTCGCCCTTGGTTATGACTGAAAGTAAAAGTTCAACCACATTTAATAATATCTTCTGCATTAGCAGCCCGTGTACGCACCTAGCCAACGACAACCACCAGCAACACAGATCTACAAGAATCAACAGAGGAAGGAACAACGCCCTAGGTAATTATAATTTACATTATAAACTTTCTAAACCGAGACCTAGGGCGTGCGTTTAACCTCTAAATAAATTCGAGAACTTTTTATAATCGTCGTAGAAAATGGACACTGCGCCCATTACGATCGAATCGCCAGGATCACCAGCACAGGAGACCGCTCCTCCGGGAGCCGACCCTTCAGGGGTGCCTGATGCCGCCTCAGTAGCGACGCAAGGACCCCCTCGCCAACGCAAGCAGCGGCAGCCTATGACCAGCATACCAGACATCATGCAGTGCTCACGCTGCAATAAGGCGTGGCATACAGCTTCGTCCTGCCGCAGCAGCCTCTCGTGCAGATACTGTTCTGGTGTGCACGAATTCAAGGAGTGCCCGCTGGCTAAAATGGACACTAATTTTAAGAGACCGAACAGCAACCGCAAGTGCTCTAACTGTTCTGGGGCGCACGGCGCGAGATACATGGGCTGCCCGTATCTCCAACAATGTAAGAGGACGCTTAGAACCACCCACGAAGCAGCCAGACAGAGATACGTGGCACCCAGGTCCTCAGCAGCACCAAAGCAACCAAGTGTGAAGCCAGCACAACGGACACCAGACAGACAAACCGACAGAACGATCACAGCGGCAATGGACCCTGAAATTTCGCTACAAATCTCTGAAATTTTAGCGGAAATTAGAGCTCTCCGCAAAGAAAAGTCCGACACCGACACTGACAGAACGCAGATGCTAGACCTGATCTCGCAGATGCGTGACGAAATCAAAGCACTGAAAGACGACAGACAAGAACAATTATCACAGCAAACAAAGTTGCTAGCTGAAATCAGGGCTCTCTGCAAAGAAAAATCGGACGCCACCAACACCGACGCTGACAGAACGCATTTGCTAGACATGATTTCGCAGACGCGTGACGAAATAAAAGCCCTGAAAGACGACAGAGAAGAACAAGTCCTGCAGCAAACAAAGTGGCTTGCAGAGGCTACACAAATGCAGAAAAACCTGAAAGAAATGACAATAAAATTGCAAGCAGAAAAAGCTGCAGACGAGACCCGCCGACAAGAAGAAAGGGAGGAGAGAAGAAAAGAAACCGAAACACTTAAGGAAGCCTGAGAAAGCACCTATAAAGAAGTCGCCCTCATGATCCAAGCAAAGGCAGGGGCCGAAACTGCAGTGCTGGCGGCAAGAACAGAGCGCGCCCTGCTTGAGAAAGAAAGAGAGGCTTCCATGAAAGCTGTAAAGCAACCGATTATCAACAAAGCCGACAAAAGCACAGCTACCGAGACAGTAATGACACAACACCAGGCACAGATGACAGATACCACGACAATCGAAGAACGAAGCGAGGCACCCGTCAGACTGCCAGCCACCCCACGCGTGAGCCAAACAGCAGCAGCCAAAATAACTAGCTTCGACGACCTTAAAGCGAGGGTTGAAGAGTACAACAAGCAGGCGGCTCCGCACACGCTGGAGTATTTCGACGAGGTCGACCACTACGTTGTCGGCTACTCTTTCGAGGAATACGGAGATGAAGGCGAAACACCTGAACTGCTTGAAAAGAGCAATAGAGCTGGCCGACTCTGCGACGAGTTAAACGCAGCCCTGGACCAGCTCCGGGCTCCAAAGAAAAAACAGAACAGAAGAGGCAACCGCCAATTCTAAAAGAGCCGCAGAAAGAGCCCACCGAATAAGCCGCCATCTTTACGGACAGCCTAAAACACAACAACCAACAACTGGACGGCGTGTCGACGTACCGGAGCCACTCCCACCCGATCCGCCCACTGGCAAAAAATTACGTAATCACCATTGCACTAACCAAAATCTTAATCTAGTTTATTTTCAGAAAAAAGAAGACAACGGAAAATACCACAGGCCGCCCGACGCCCCGAAGCAGACAGCCGAGGGCATTGCACCAAAGGGGACCAGCACTTAGGAATTCCAGTCACCATCATGCCACCTCGCCCCACCCCACGTATATATTAATAAATGC